TCTAGTTTGTACATTATTGAATATGTGAAAAGCTCACAAAGTAATGTATAGGGAAAATAATGTTTTACCTCAGCAGTGACACTACTGGCTATAAAGTAATAAAATACAGGCTCCAGGTAGTATTAAATGTACAATACACCTCGGGGAGTCTTTTTGCCTTTAATCTTTAGTCGGTTAATTAAAGGTTTAAATGTGAACTCGTATGTAAGCGGAAGGATATTTTGTTATATTTTATCACCTCGTGCCTGCTAGTCCTAGTACGTGAAATCGTACCAGTGTCAATGCAAAGCCGGAAAGATATATTATTAAGTTCATCACCTCGTGCCTGCTAGTCCTAGTACGTGAAATCGTACCAGTGTCAACGCAAGGTCGGAAAGATATATTATTAAGTTTATCACCTCGTACCTGCTAGTCCTAGTACGTGAAATCGTACCAGTGTCAACGCAAGGTCGGAAAGATATATTATTAAGTTTATCACCTCGTACCTGTTAGTCCTAGTACGTGAAATCGTACCAGTGTCAACGCAAGGTCGGAAAGATATATGAACGTTTTTCCCGGTACTTAGTGTGGTGTGTTTCTCTATGTACTTGTTATAGTATGTTCCCCTATGTACTTGTTATAGTATGTTCCCCTATGTACTTGTTATAGTATGAACTGAACCCTTAAACTATACCTATTATAGTTTACTAGTAACGTGCTTGAACTGTTGTTGAAAATACTCATTTTACTACTAAGTTATACTTGTACTTTAAAAACGGAGTTTTGTTAAACTATAAAGTAACATAACTTGAAAAGAGTCTTTGAAATGTTTTGACAACTTATAAATGACATAAGTAATCCTTTTGAAAATGTTTATAACAAACAATTACACAATTAACATTGTGTTCAACTTGTATTCCCCCCCCCCCTTAAAACATTTAAAACAGTTAAAAGATTCATTACGGGGTATGAACTCACCTGATGTGGGTGATTCAAACGAATACGCGCGTAAGGATGAGAAGTTCCACGAATGAACTCCCGAGACTTAACGAGTCCTAAATGACATATAATGGCATATATTGACATAAATATAGTGTTTAGAAACAACCAAATGCAAGGAAACACCTTACGGGACTAGGAAACACTTTGTCCAAGTGTTGGAATCACATGTGATTCAAATTAAGGGAGTGTACGTCCACTTTGAGGAGTGTTCGGCCATGGGTGTGCGGCCAGGGGAGTGTGCAGCCGCACACTCATGGTAAAGAGTGCACAAAACATTTTCCAAATGGTGGGGAGGCTTGTAGCACTGATGCTCATCAAGTGTTGAAGCTAGAAAGGCACTTTGGAGGCCCTTAAGCACTAAACAAAGGGGTGTACGGCCACATGGAGTGTGTGCGGCCGCACAATCCTTGATGAACATGGTTTGGACGTTTTCTAAGGCTCATATCTGGTAAGTAGCAAGCTTGGGGAATGGTATTTACAGTATACAAGCCTTTAGGGGTGTTTTGATGGTGTTTTGAGGGTGTTTGAGGGGTGTACAGCCACATGAGTTTGTGCGGCCGCACACACCATATGTTCTTGAGTTCTGGGCAGTTTCAAGGCCTTAAACTAGTGTCCTTAACAAGATCTAAGCATAAGGGAAGAGTACTTATGATACGGAAGCTCGAGAAGGCCCAAAATCGCCAAGAACAAGTGTGTGTTCTTGGTGTTCTTGGTGAAATGGATGAAGATTTGAAGATCTAGTCAAAACATGATTTCCAATGGATGAAATCAAAGAGTGTTACTAGTTTGGAAGGATTAACAACAAATCAAGTGAAGAACACTTACATTCTTGAATATCTAGGCTGAAAATCGAATGATAGTTGAGAGAGAAATCGAGTTCTAAGTCTTGGAGAGTGAAAAGGGATGAAAGGAGGCTGAGTTCTAGACTTATACACGTGAGTGTAATGCCAGGAGAGGGGTGTGCGGCCGCACACCCATGTGTGCGGCCGTACACTCCTTGTGTTGGAGTGTAAGGCCCGGTTTTGATGTTAGAAGTGTACGCGATCCATTTCTATGCCCAATGCTTGAATGTACTGACCTTTGGACCTTTAAATGGACTCTAAACGAGGCTAAACGATAGCAGAAATGAGTTTGACACTCAGTCGAGTTGACTGGCGGAGCTTTACCAGGCAAAAATTTTAAAAATTTTCGGGTTGTCACATACTATCTGCTACTTATATCTCTCAGTATATATTGGGATTATTGAGAAATCTAGAATTATAATCACAAGAAATATGAAAATAAGCTAAGTCTTAGAACCATTTGAATCTAGATCTTTCGAAAGGATAAGTGTTAAGGGGAAGCGTTGCCCTAACCTTGAATTGTTTACTTGTGTCAGGTGAGTGCGTAGTTACTTTCAAGAGCATAATTTAATAAAACTATTTGTTAAATGCTAATTGTATTAATTATACTCTGTGCTACTTATATAACTATAATAGTATTACTTATTAGGAACTATGTCAGAATTAGAATTGCCTTTAGATGTAGTTTGGTTTAGTTATGGACTTATAAAAGGTACTTAGTTCTAAATAAGCTGGATATTCGTGGGGTCTCATTTTGAGGGTAAAATGTGAGATTAGAGTGGAGTGTAGTAGTCCTCCTCTTTATTGGATGACCAAAAATGGTGGATCCAGATAAGGCAACGGACAAGTATGTCTAGGTCATCGACTAGAGTAGATGAAAACATTTGACTATTCTAGGTGGTCTAGTGAATTATGTTGCTAGTGTGGACTTATAACCCACAGACATAGGTAGAATGGGATACCATATCTATCAATTGCTCTGAACATTAGTTGTCTTTATATTACTTACACTGCCCAAGGACACCCCTAGATGTGTAGTCAAGCAGTTGCTCAAACGATTTATCAGGGTGGGTGATTCCTCTAGATAATCGTTGCTTTAGGATTTTTGAGAATCATTTGGGTAGGGTAAGTAGTCTTATATCAGAGTATACTTATATTGATTGTTTGCGGTAATGTTATTTATGTATTATCATTAATATATTATGGGCATAAAAACCTTATGCATCTCACCAGGTTTCCCAAACTTGACCCACTCATTTGTGCATCACATGTAGTGGATGTAAGGTTGCCGATGTCTAGTTAGGATGTTGAGTGGAATAAAGAGATGTGCTTGTAATAAGTAGTTTCAAGATCTATTATATTTACGTTGTAATGTATGTTTAAATATGAACGATGACATTCTCGGAGTGTTAATAAAATGAAATAACTTTTGTTATCTAAAAAATGTTTAAATTTAACTGAGAATTTCCGCATCTCAATTGTTTAAAGCGTAAAGAAAATATTTTAATTGGTTCTGAAAAATAGGGGATGTCACATTATCACATTGTGATAATGTTGCGAACCCTACATGTGTGTCAATCGGTGAATACCACTAATAGTCTAGAAACTATAAACCATCCTCGGGCCACCACTGACCGTGTAAGAGATGGAAAATATATTGATTCCTCCAAGACCCATATTTACCACCAAGGGGGTCGCTCCTCAATAAAATTTACAAAGCCATGTATAAGACCAAATTTTCTTACAAGCACTCCCATGCATAGTGATTGGTCTCTCTATCGACATGGAACTTTTCGATTTTTTTGGTTGGTTGTTGTTGACGATTGGGCTTCTTGAGCTCCCTTTTCTTAGGTGCCAAGCCTTTTTTCTTAAAACTAGTTTTACCCTTTTGGCCAAAACTCTCAAATGAGAAGTGGTGCAAACTTGATCCTAACTTACCCTATTCTTCCCTATTGCATATTTATTACTGAATTTGGTAGTCCTTCATCATATCATCCAATGAATAGTACTCATATTTATGCATCATCATCTTGGAGAAGTCCTTAAAGGAGGGTGGCATATTTGTGATAATTGCACCCACTTAGAAGAGCTCTGGTAGAGAGATGGAAAACATGGTTAGTTTGTTGACTAAGACGTGGATCTTATGTACATGCTCCAAAATTGGTCTTTTGTTGACCATTTGGAAGTCTAATTAACGGACATAAACTACTTGTTTCTACCTTCCTCTTGTACCTCGTACTTATGCTCCATGTCTTTCTATACCTCTCTAGGATCTGTCACCAACATGTAAGATCATAGAGGCGGTTAGATAGGTAATTATTTATGTCTATAATGCATAAGGCCTCTTAACTCTCTTCGAAACGACCTCATCTTCTCCAGATTGTGAATTTATTTCTGGTATGGTTCCTTTCCCGCTGTAAGGACAAGATTAGCTAGAATAAGAGGCAATTTAGGGTCCAAAATAAAACCAAACTTAAGCACATCAAGCAATAACTTGAACTTATCAGTCCAACGAGTATAGTTATGACCTTTGAAGCGATCTGATTTGACAAACTTCTGATTCAGACTTAAAAATTAAACAATCCCATAAATAATTATGAATTAAATATCATATCGTTAATAATATTGAAAACTAACACACATGGATTAACTACTCGGTCGTTATAAACATTAATTGTTATTGTTATTACTAAGTTTCGTCCAGAAATTTTATTGATCATTCATGACCATAAGAAAGATAAAAGAGAACATCTTGTTATTGGACGAATTAAATAACGAGACATGAAAAAAAATTTAAAACTAACCCAAAGATTGTAGATTCTTTATTTCTAAAAGTTGCACAAAATGAATCATGTCCTTAAATGTTTTATGTCGCTCAATTGTTATAAAATTCAATGTAAAACCTGTAGATTAAGCAAATACTCATAAACGCTAAAGAATAGTGGATGTGGAATTAGGAGACCCCCAAAAAATGAGTTGGTGGTATGATTAAGCTACTAACTGGGTTGCTCTAACCGTAAGTGCAAAGTGCTCCATTTCTTGAACTTCGTGGCTATATACAGACTAGCAAGGAATATGTGTAGATTGTCCTATATTTCTACTCTTTATCTTGGCTAAAAAAAATTACATTGTACATCTTAAAGGAGAAAATATTTGTCTCTATGTTGACAGGAAAACATGCTAGTATCGACTATGGCGGTGGATCAAATATCTGGATACTTTAGTGAAGACAACATCAAAGTTGGTGATATAGTAATTGAGGATCAGGTGATTTTGGAAAATTTGTCACCATGAAACATTTTTCTTTGCATTCAGATTGGTTAAAATTTTGAGATTTAAAATATTTTAAATCTATAATCGATTTAGGAGTTCATCGAAGCAACAAGGGAACCTGGTATTACATTATTGGGAGGGAAGTTTGACGGTATCATTGGGCTTGGATTTAAGGAGATCTCTCTTGACAATGCTCTCCCAATATGGTATGTTTTAATTAGTTTTTGTAGATATATATAATGTTCAATAAATAAATCAATTATGTTAAATGTCCATTTTAATTTCTCATAAACTAACTTATTATTAAAGTCCATCAACTTAGATGTTAGTTCTATTAATGTAATGAAGATTGGAAGCTGCATGTATATTTTTTGACATTGCCTTTTTAGGTTACTTTTAATTTATTATTATTATTATTATTATCATCATCATCATCGGAGGTTCCTACGTACGACTAACACTTTCACTCTTACTCTTCCTCTATATGGGCCCCATTTTCCTCTATAGACTGCCTCTCCATCCTCATCTTTTCCAATCAATTATTTCCAAGGTTGCAGAAATCGGGATTAATCGTTTGACGTTCTCCAACCGACTTGGATTAGGGGTGCTTGACGAAAATTAGGGATTAATCGGGTTTAGCGGGATTAATAGGTCTTGGCGGGATTATTCGGTCAACAAAAGACAAAAAAAAAGTCAAAAAAGTCAAAAAAAATTCAAAAAATCAACTTTTGTTTTACTCCAAAATTTTCAAAATTTAAAAATTTCAAATATTATACCAAAATGTTCATATTTTCGTATTTTCAAAATTTAAATTACATTTTTTTTAATTTTGAAGTACTTGTTTTTCTTAAGATATATTAATCCTTGATTAACTTAAATATTTTATTAATAATCTATGGTTCTCGATTAATCCCTGCCAAGACCGATTAATCCCTTAACCCCCGTCGACCATCGAGCTACCGTCAAACAATTTTTACAACCGTTATTATTTCCCTTCAAATGGTTATTTACCAACATTATGATACTTTAATAAAAACACATATTACTATAAAATAAAATCTTCATCATCTTCACATCCTTATACTCCAATAAACATACCATACAATCTAAATCGGTCCCTTTTACGGGTAGGTTACCATTAGTGGGGGTGAATATGAAAGGATGTGGTTGCAAGTTTAAACCCTCCGATAGAGGAAAAACCTGCAACAAAAAAAAAACAATAAACCACTGAAGCTTAAAATGTCCCTATTAGAACATCAGCAACTAAGAAGATATAGTAACCTTGAGTGAAAATTTCAAGCTGAGTGCAATGCAATGAATATAGGAATCATTTTCAATCTATAATTTAGTAAAAACTATCAAATCTCAAAAGTAATTGATTAATGAAGAATGAAACATGTTGGGATGAACTGTATTATCTTCAATTCAAATATTGATATACCAAATACAAATTAATTCTTGGAAAATTGCAAATCCTCCAATATATTTAAGGGGTCGAAATTAGGATTAATATAGTCTTTATGTTAGAAATAAAGGGATCAGAATAACAATAAATACAAACTTGGATAGATTCACGGACCGTTTTCGAACACTTTATGAAATCTATAATTCGTCCCTTTTGCCAGAAGTGGGATAATCCAAAAATAAATCAATCTAAATTACAGGTGTAATTCAGATTGTGAAACACATAATACATGTTAATGTGTTCTTGAGAGATAGATCAAAAATCTTAGTAATCATATTTTTAGAGTATATTTGTAACCCGTTTTCTGGAACATGAAGAGTGTTCTTATACAAGATGGAAAAAGTGGTTAATGGCAGTTGCATCCAGATTTGGCACCAAAACAGGTATGTATTGGACATAACCAACACATGCATCATCATGATGTCATCTAGTGAGTTTTGGCGGGAAACCACCATGGGATCTGCCCCTTGGACCCCGCTAGGGGTGCTGCCCCTAGACCCGCCAGGGGCGTAACCCCTTAGAACTCTGCACCCAGGGGCGCTGCCCCCAGACTACGTATTCTCAAGTTCACATTTATCACTTCATGTGTACACCCTGCACCTCCTATCTCGATTAGTAAATGGAGCTCATACTATCTCATTATTAATAATAATTACACAAAAATATGTTGATAACGCTAAAATCACCAACACTTTATTTAGTTTATAATCTTATATTTTCATTATTATTATTCTATTTTTGCTTTCTATTAGAAATATGTTTTCTCCTACCATGAGCCTTACTTTTGGAGCTTATATGTTATCATGAATTTTGTAGATTCAAATACAATTTTTAGTGAATAGATATTTCTTTTTTAGTTGTTAGGTTATTTCTCTTAAAAAGCTATAGTGACAATAGAACAAACATGTAAGTGAAAGTTTCTATTGTATTCTTCATATTCTTTGGTTCTTATATATTCCATAGTTAATGGTAGGGGTGGAAAATATGGCCATCATGTCGTGTTTTTGTCTGACACCTCACGACACGACAAGGTTTTATGTAACACAAACACGACACGACACGATGTCGTGTTTTTTTAACTAACACGAAAATGAACCAATTAAAAAACGAAAAACACAAAACGACATGACAAAGATAACATGAAATAACAATTTGTTTATTTAATTGATACTTAATCATACATAACATAACAAACACGAAAAACACGACAGACAAATGCTAAATCGTGTTAATTTTGTGTCAAATTTTGAACATGGAAACGACATCGTGTTTTTTTACACTTGACACAAAGATGAAACGAACACGAATTCAAATTTCAGTTTCGTCCGAATTTCATTTTGTGTCAAGTATTTTGTCGTTTCATGTCATTAAATTGCCACCCCTACTTAATAGTGAACAGTTTTAAGTCACATCAAGGTTCTTAAACGATATTCAAAACCTTTACGTCAAGGTTTATCACAAGTTATTTCCATATTCTTTTGATTATTGTCATGTGGTTCTATATTTTTAAGTTTTAGGGCCATCATGCATTCACATCACCTTCATCAACCAACTTTTCCACTTCGGATCTGCTTATCCCCTCCTTTGTATTTTTGACAACCTATAGCCACCTACATCCATTCTCTTAACATCAATATTTTCCTTCTATATCTAAATAAGAATAAGTTCATCTTCATCAATAATAATAATAATAATACATTCTCATAAATGGATCTTCGTTCAATATGGTAACATGTTTGTTGTGCATAATTATACAAACACTAAAGTAGAAACCCAACATTATAATGCATCGATAGGTTAGTTCAATATATGGCGAGGGTGGGGATGGATGAGTATATGCAAAATGAATAAACTCAACTAGGTTTTGGTGTCCAATAATTATCTCAACATCGTTCTTCGCCTTTAAAATTTCAACTGTATATATATTGCAAAGTCTTTGTTCTTTTTCCTTTTAAATATTTCAAGTCATGATTCTTGGACTTTGCGGTTGATTATTTAATTTGGGGAAATTGGAGGATGCAGTAGGAGGAGGCATTCTCAAGGATTAAACTTTTATCCAAAACATTAAGGAATGTAAACTTGGGTATTAAAAGTGGATCGGAAAAGTTAATAAGGAAAAAAGGGCATGAACATGAGCTTAAAAGAAAATCAGTTGCTATTGAAATTATTACGGATTCTATTCGACTAGGACCGATGGATATTAAAGATTACGAATAACATATTCTAAAGATTCAAGAGTTGTGAAAAACAAAAAAAACATCGATAAAAGGTGAGATTGATACAAGAACTTGGAAAGGACCACTTCACCCGATTCTTTCATTGTTTGGTAAACAACAAGTTAAGGGATTCGAAGATTAATTGGCTTAGCATTGGTAGGTATTGGGTAACAAGTCCGAACGACCATCTTAAAGTCTCAATATTTAGTTTATTTCAAGGAGAAACTTAGAAACAAAATTCCAAATAGACATTGGTTACGCAACCCCAATCTTCTTGATATTAGCAACAATCAAAAGTCATCCTTGGAGTCTCGTTTACCTTTGATAAGGTGAAATAGCTTGTTTGGGAATATAGGAATGACAAACCCCAAGACTAGATGGTTATAGCTTCGCTTGAATCAAAGATATTGAGAGGTGTTGGGTGTGGATATCTTTGTCTTGGTCAAACACTTCGAGGATCACCTATTTATTAACCCAAAAAAGAATGCCTCGTTTATCTTTCTGTCCTAAAATTGAGTGATCCCCTACCTGTTTTAGATTATAGACCTATCAATCTTATTAGGTTTGTTAGAAAACTCATTCACACCGCTTTGGCGGGGAGGTTCAAAAGGGTAATGGGGTTTGACATCTATAAGGAGCAATCAAAATTTATTAAAGAAAGGAACATTCTTAGTGGCCCGCTCATGGCTAATAAATTATAGGCTAAGGGAAGAAGAAATAAGATGCTTATTTTAATGTCAGTTTTGAAAATACATTTGACTATCTTGATTGGAGGTTCTTAGATGACATCTTGACCCAAATTGATTTTGGGATTAAGTGGAGGTCTTGGATTCATGAATTTCTTTACATAGCCAAAGTTCCTGTCCTTGTAAATGGTTTGCCTACCACCCATTTCTGATTGAAGAAAGAGGGTGAGACCACACTTTTGCCTTTCCCTTTGATCATTTCTAGGGATTCTCTTAAGATAGTTATTTTGGAAGCCATTAAAAATGGGCTTTTTGAAAAACAAAAATCCTAAAAATAGACCTCAAATATCTCTTCCATTTTATGGATGATGTCATCTTCTTAGGTGAGTGGTCGACCAATAATATTGTTACTTTATTATGTATCTCGAAATGTTTCCAACTTGCTTCGGACCTCAAAGTCAACCTCTCGGAAAAAAAACAATGTCTTTTGTGTTGGTGTGAATAATGGTAAGATTAAGTCAATGGTTTTGGTAATAAAGTATAGGAAAGGCACCATCCCCTTCCTTACCCTCGAGATCCCTCTAATATTAGGAGATTTTCTCATTGAGCCTTTTGATTGACATTGGGGGAGGTTTACCTTGTCTAAGTTTATGCTTAGGACTCTTGGCACATATCTTTGTTTCCATTTTTAAAGTCCCATCAAAGGTAATCAACATTATATGAGGCATTTAAAATAAACTTGTGGGGGTGGTTCTAAGAGGAAAAAAAATCATGTGGATCTGTTCGTCTAAAACTTTGTCAAACAAAGAATTTAGGAGGCCTTAGCATTAGAAGCCTTAAGGCTCTACATTGTCCTTCTTGGAATATGGTGGTAGCATTTTAGATGCTCTTTTGAAGGAAGTATTTATGGCTTTAGATGTTCTAAATATTCATAAAATAGGAGAAGGGTGTTAGGGGTGATTTCCAGTATAAATATGGACTTAATAAAATGCAATATAGTTCTTAATAAGCAAATTGGAAGATCCATCGGTCCAAAATCTGCCTTAAGTTCTATACAGATATGTGGTGTAATAATGTCGTTATATCAAAAGCTTTTCATAGGATTTTTACATTTGGAGCTTTCCTTAGGATTTTTACTTCTAATTATTTCCTAGATTGCCTCCTTAATGATATGATTCAAAATCTCTATGGAGATGTCAACTTTTATGGGATTGAGGCGGGGATCTAAGCGTTATTAGTGATGATGGGAACCCTGATTATTTTAAGAACCACTACTTTCAAATTTATTTCAGTAAAGGAGATCATTTGTATAATTATGGAGTCATATGGGATTTTCTTGGTTGCATCCCTTAAAAGAGCGACAAGGAGTTTCTTGGGAAAATAACAACCTTGTGGATTAACGAGGTTACTATTAAGGTGAACATGTTCGTTTGGATCGAGTCTCGTATGGGGAGGATCCCCATGTGATCCATTCTGCCTAGGAGAGAAATTGTTATTCCTACCATTTTCTATCCTTTGTAAAGTGAAAGTCCTGACACTTATTCTTCCTAGCAATGTGAATTGTTTATTTCTGGATTCTAAGGTGGAAAAAGAGGTTCGGTTTCTAGTTAACAATTAGTGGGACTTTACAACTTGTGCAAATAACTTTTTGGATGATATTTTCTGTTGTAGCCCCTCTTTAACGCTCTCTAAATCTATATGAACATTATTAAGCCACTTACATTTGGATTTAATGAAATTGACTCATTTACTACATGTTCTTGCGCAAGGATAAGAACAACTTATCGATTTTGAATGATATCTAGTATTTGTATTTTTTTTTTCTCGATCTCAGAATTGCTCATTGGTAACTTGCTTTGATGGGAAAAATCTTGGTTGTAGCCTAGATCATGAATCGCTATGGGACTGATAAGATGGAAAATAATGTTTCATACCCATCTTTGTACAATCGATCTCATGTAACCATGAAGTTTCTTGCTAACTTTTGTTTCTCAATACAATTTCTTGTGTTTCAAAAATATTAAGAGTCATGTTAATATCAAAAGAGTTTGGAAAAGATTAAGTGGATGTCTCACATAATTGGTGGATTTTTTTCAACGCCAACCCATATAACAAATGAATGTCACCTATATTTTGATATATTTTGACCTTTTGTTGTCAACATCTAATAGAAGTCGCCTAATTACAAATACCATGTTCATTATACAAATGGTATTATTATTGTCATGCAGATTCATGTAGCTTAGTTATTCGGGAGTTCCTTTGGGCATAATGTGTTATCTAACTCTAACGTATCAATAGTTCACATTTATGTTATATAGGGACAATATGTTCAATCAACATCTAGTTAAGGAGCACATTTTTTCATTTTGGCTTAACCAAAGAGGTAATGAAGGAGGAGGGGGTGAAATCATCTTCGGTGGTGTTGATCCAAATCACTACAAAGGTGTGCACACGTTTGTTCCAGTTACTCAAAAGGGATATTGGCAGGTCAGTTCGTCTATTCCATAATGCTAGTTCAAAAAATGAATGTGTATATATATATATATATATATATATATATATATATAATAGAGAAATTGAATATCCTCTTATGTTTCTTCTTATTTATCTTCTTACCCATGTGAAATGATGGTAATTCTCTTAAAATATTATGAATTTTATCAAAATATGATATTTGTGACCATTTAATGTGGGTACGAAGATAAGTAGGAAGAAAAGGTAGGAGAATATTTAATTTCTCATATAAATATATATTCTAAATCACTTTGTTGTTCTACTTTTTGCTAGTTTGATATGGATGATGTACTTATTGGTGGGCAGCCGACTGGTATGTAACATGGAATGTTATATTTTACTACATGTTGGATATCGGAACATATATGCATGATGTGTTGTGGTTGCTTCCAGGGTCTTGTAAGAACAAATGTGCAGCTATTGTTGATTCTGGAACTGCCTTGCTAGCTGGTCCAACGGTATGTAACTCTCATGTAATATTAACATGTTATAATGGGTTGGCAAATAGTTTTTAACATAATTTTTTTTAGGAATAAAATATACAAACAACAGTGGTATTGATTTCTATAAAATTTGATTGATATGAATTTATTAGTAAATATTTTTGTTATACATTATTATTTTTATGTACATTTAATATTAGAAGTTGTTTTTTCATAATAACTTATATAAAGCTGTAATATTTAATACACGTTTCTCATGATTTACATACATAGCTTTTCAATAATATGTACCAGTATCATTTCATTATACTAAAAAATCGAAGGACCTCATATTTCCATTTGATTCTGATTGGAATGTTGGTTACATTATCCATTATAATTTGGTATCTAAAACTCTTGGGACTAGGGTGTGATCTTATTATCATTAGTTTTTCCAGTTCTTAAGTGTGCTCATCTACCTTTTTGCTTGTTAACTTTCAGAGTGTGATCACCCAGATAAATCATGCCATCGGGGCTCAAGGAATTGTAACCGAGGCGTGCAAGGGTTTTGTTTCTAAATTTGGACACATAATATTTCGGCTGCTTTCGACATTTGTATACAACTTCCAATTCGCACATCGATCAAAGTTTTATTAGAAGTTTCAGTTTATTATACCTCACATGTTAATTTACTTCCTGAACAGGTCAATACCAAGACGATATGCCCCTTTATTGGATTCTGTTTTCTTGATGGGGATCACGAAGTTAGGTTAGCTTTCTAATGATTTATTGCATCATTTTATCTTGTAGCCTTCACCTTTTGCAACATAGATAAATCCATCATCTTTTGGTCTTGTATCGTGATTTTATCCTTTCGCACAGTATTGGCATTAAGAGTGTTGTAGATAGGAGTGATAGTGTATCACATCCATCTGTAACCGCGCCAAATTGCATTCTCTGTAAAGCAATAGTAGGACTTATGCATACTATGATCGCCAATAACAACACACAAGAAATGATTTTAAAAACATTGGGCAATGTGAGTTTTCTTGCTAGTTGTTTTTAGTATTATTTGGCACATAATTTGTTGTTTATGATAATATGATGAGTCCAAATTTGCAGCTATGTAAACTGGTGCCCATCCCAGTAGAAGAGTCGATGGTTGATTGTGCTAGACTTCCTTATATGCCTACTATTTCGTTCACCATTGGTGGCAAAGAATTTGAACTTTTACCTAATGAGGTTTTATCAATTTGGTGTATATATTTTATCTTTTACAGTTGATAGAAACACAATTTTATGCGACCACAAGCGTTATAAATACCATGTACTTATTTATATATGTGTTTGTTTCATAGTACATAATTAAGACCGGGGAGGGTGAGGATGCACACTGCGTTAGTGGTTTCATGCCTTTGGATATTCCTCCTCCACGTGGGCCACACTGGTACGTATGCCTTCTTCGGGTTTGACTACATAATTTTAGCTTGCTTTTAGATGTTAAAACCTATAATCTTTAAAAGTCAACTATTACAGGATTTTTGTGTTTCATGTGATGCAGGATATTAGGTGATTTGTTTATGCGTCGTTACCACACTGTATTTGATTATGGCAATCTAAGAGTTGGATTTGCAGAAGCTGCGTGAACAAGACCTTTTAACCTTAACCATATAGATAATTGTTCGGATTGATTTGATTTAATCAGTGGATCTATTATCATATTTTGGAAAACATATGTAAATGAGAGTAAGTGATTGGCCATTAGTATTTTTATATTTATATGATGTTGGAAAACTAGTTTTATTAACTTCCAAAAATGGGTTTTTTTTCCATTTTTTAATACGAATTTAGGACTCTAAATATAATCAAAACAGACAAATGATTATATTTTTGTGTTCTCTTTGTGATATATTCGTTTTGATATACCACACGTCCAAAACGGAGTATAAATAAATGAGAAATTACTTATCAAAGTATGGTAGCTGGAAAAAAATAATAAGTGGGTTAAATTATTTTTAACTCATCCGACATTGGTGGGAGTATGAAAAGAAAATGAGTTTATAACTACAAAGACTTGTTAGTTTTGTAAGATTTATAAAACCAAGATTTATCTCTTCCTTTTCTACTTTTGTTTCTTATTTTTGCTTCAACAAAGGTATTTTCCTCTTACTTCTGCTTGAGGGTTTGGGTAATCTAGAAGGTATTTTCCTCTTACTTCTCCAACCAAGGTATTTTCCAGCCAGTTCAGAGTTTAGGAAATCTAGAAGAATCATCTCATTATTTATTCAAATGCATCAATCAACATAGAATAAGAAAAAGAACACTTAAGTAAGATCTTAGATACCCTAACTTATAACTCCCAATACTCTTATAATATAACTCTCAACATTCTTTCTAGATCTAATACAAACAAACAAGTTGATATATATGTTGGAAATTATAGAGGAGATATTGCAAGTTGGCAAGTTTCTTCTATCCCACATTGGCGGGGAAGAAACCTTTTGTGAGCTTATAAACCATTTATGTATTTTCCTCTTACTTCTGCTTGAGGGTTTGGGCAATATAGAAGGTATTTTCCTCTTACTTCTCCAACCAAGGTATTTTCCAACCAGTTGAGGGTTTGGGAAATCTAGAAGAATCAACTCATTATTTATTCAAATGCATCAATCAACATAGAATAAGAAAAAGAACACATAAGTAAGATCTTGGATACCTGATGTGTGCAAAAATATACCTATCTAACTTTAAATTTATAACCTAACTACTTATCTACTAATGCACCTATAGGCAGTATACCTAGTCCGTTTATAGTATAGTAAAGTAAGTTGGGTATCGAACACAAGGAACAGATTCAGTATGCTAAAATAACTACTAAAAATTAATCTAAAAGAAAACGATAATTAAAAGGGATTTGTATCTGATTTTGCAAGCTTAGACTAACTTAAGCACTAAACTAAAAACGATTGTAATCAAGATATTAAAAAAACACTTTCGTTTACTATTGAATCCATCTTTTTCCTATGATTAGCTCTTATTTATGGATAAATAAAGTTGGTTACCAATTTATATATAATTAGAAATCTTGGTCCGATCTACTAATATTTTTACCAATTCATGTACTACTATATAATGGTCATACACAGCAAACACATAATTGATTAATAATGATAATTGGGCTATGTAAGATGTGACATCCCCATTTTCACGGCCAGAAAAGACCGATTTTGTTTATGCTTTATAAACATCAGAGTATCTCTTTTAATAAAAATGTTGCGGAATTTGTTCCCAGTAAAACATGATAAATACGTTATCAAAGCATTTCCGAAGAAAAGTATTTTTATTCATTTTAAAACATTTGGGATGTCATCGTCAATACAGAAACATAAGCATAAACAGAACTTACATTCCTTATCACTAGTGATTTATATCTCCTTAATCTCTCAGTGTAATGTGACTTCATATCAACACCTGTGATATAAATAAACTGAGTGGGTCAGGTTGGGAAACCTAGTGAGTACATAGGGTTTTCAACCCATAATAAATAAGTTTATTAACTTTATCAAACCAAACAAACCGGTTCATCAATAACATCTATAATGAGGCCTCTCATTATTTTATTTTGTCACACATCAACTATTACATCTACCCATGTTTTACCCAACACATTTTGTAGATATAAAATACATATACAGTTTAAATCATTTAAAACATGTATAAAATCGTTCATCCAGCATAGACGGCAAGTATACAGATAATATGCACACGTAGCACGTAATTTATATAAAATACTTCATATCTATGTGTAAGATGAAAGTGACTATGCACTCACTTGAAAAGGCGATGATTCCGAACTCAGACAATGCTTCGCTTCTTAAAAATAATTCCCTTCGACGAAACCTAGTATTATTATCTCTAGAGTTTAGTATATTATTCGCCGAGACTAATTAATAGTCTAGCTATTATTACTATTATATAAGCGTTAAAAAATACTTATATAACCCATAATAATAGCCCAAGTATTTATTATAAGTTCCTAATAACGTTACTATAATTAAATAAAAGCTATATTAAAAATAGCGTAGGTGTAGCTCACTTACAGCGGGTTTTATAGAAAACCGGGCTTTGCTTGGAGCAGCGTTCCCGAGCCGAAAAGCTCTTCTTCTCGAAGCCGTCGAGCACTCCGGGGCTTCCGCCTCGTGATAGGGAGGTTCCCTAGGCTTTTCGGGGGGTTTCGGGGCCAGAGAGAGGTTCTAGAGAGAGAGAGAGTAAAGAGAAGAAAGAATGAGAAATGTGTGAAGAAAATGAGGGTGGGAGAGGTTCTATTTATAGGGTGAAAAATGGCTGAACTTGGTGCCACATGTCACCATCTAGTGGCAAGACTTGGGGAGAAAGCAATGGCCAAGATTGTGCCACATCACCCATTTTCGCACAGCACACTTCCGACTTCTAAAATCCGTAACTTTCACATACGACCTCCGTTTTTGACGTTCTTTATATCCACGCGTAGGTAAAAACAAGATCTACAACTTTCATTTTGACTCCGTCGGCTAATTCGTGACCGATCTTAAATTTAACAGTACGAGGAGATTATACTGTTAAATGTCCGCGTAAAATTCATAACTTCTACATACGGACTCTGTTTTCGTCTGTCTTTTTACCGTTGAGTTCCTATTAATGAGCTCTTTAATTCTCATTTAGGTCGCATAGGCCAAAAACCGCTCGATCTAAAATTCGAGTTTCAGGTTGTGCACTGTTAAGCCAAATCTTAGAAAATTCATAACTTCCTCATACGAAGTCAGATTTGGGCGTTCGTTTTTTGTATGTTCTCGGTTTAATGTATACTACAACTTTTGTTTAGATTTCTAAGGCTAAAAAGTCATCCATCGTAAATTCACTATTTACGTCTCCCGGTGTCGTGCCAGTTTTGCCGTAAAACTTCGACGGACCATAACTTTTTCGTTATAACTCGGATTTCAACGTTCTTTATATGTACGGAACCCTTGAGACGTATTCTACAACTTGGTTAAGATTATTTATTCTAAATAATATTTTGTCAAAAAGTCGTTTTCGACCCCTATTATCTCTAAATTGACGAGACCTTCGATTCTCGTTTAGGTCGTGCCGGCTAAAAATCACTCGATCTAAAATTCGAGTTTTTAGCTGTCTACTGCTAAGCTGAAACTTAGAAAAATCATAACTTCCTCATACGAAGTCAGATTTGGGCGTTCTTTTTATACATACTCTCGATTTAACGAACACTACGACTTTCGTTTAGATCACTAAGGCTAAAAAGTAGTTTATAAAAAACTCACTTTTTACGACATTCGGCACCGTGTCGGTTTTGTCGTGAAACTTCGACAGGTCATAACTTCTTCGTTATAACTCGTATTTCGGTATTCTTTATATATCTGTAATCATTGTCACGCCCACTACAAGTTTCTTAATAGATATCGGCTTTATCTAATATTTATTTTCGACGCTCATTTTTATTCTTAATTAATTAAACCCTAATAATTAAGCATAAAACACATAATATTCACATAATATTCACATAATTCCTTTTCATTTCTTCAAAATGAGTTACAAAGGTTAACATAAACTATAACGTCAATATTAATGTCTAGCCTAGAAACACGGGCGTTACAATTATCTCCCCCTTAGGATGATTCCGTCCCTGGAATCACACATCAGCAAACAAATGCGGGTAGCGACTCATCATGTCACTCTCCGTTTCCCAGGTGAGATTTAGCCCATTCGTATGTTTCCATCGCACAAGGACTAAATCGACCATCTTGCGTCGCAACTTCTTAGTCTTACGGTCAACGATTGCCTCAGGTTCTTCAATCAACCTCTTGTTTTCATCCAACCTTAATTCAGAAATGGGAATTATGTCGGGCACATCTCCCGTGAACTTTCTCAAATAACACACATGAAAGGTATTATGAATACCCTCCAGTTCTTCCGGTAATTCTAGCTTGTAAGCTTGATTCCCGATCCTCTGAGGAACTTTAAACGGTCCAATAAACCTTGGACTCAACTTTCCCCTTTTACCAAATCTTATAAGTCCCTTCCACGGCGAGACTTTAAGTAAAACCGAATCTCCAACTTCGAAGGATATCGGTTGTCTTTTCTTGTCAGCATAACTCTTTTGTCGATCTTGAGCTGCCAACATCCTTTCTCTAATCACTTTCAACTTTTCAGCAGTCTGATGGACTATTTCAGGTCCCACAAACTGCTTTTCCCAGCCTCCAACCAACATGACGGCGTTCGACACTTTTCTCCGTACAAAGCGTGATAAGGTGTCATCTTGATGCTTGAGTGGAAACTATTATTATAGGAAAATTCTACTAGAGGTAAGTGTTCATCCCAGTTACCTTGGAATTCTAAGGTACATGCTCTCAGCATATCCTCCAATGTTTGAATTGTTCGTTCGCTCTGACCATCGGTTTGCGGATGGTAAGTTGTACTCAAACACAACTTGGTACCCAATTCCTCTTGTAGACTTCTGCAAAACCTTGAGGTAAAACGGCTGTCACGATCGGATACAATCGTTAACGGAACACCGTGAAGCCTCACAATTTCCTTCACGTAAGAATTCGCAAGTTTATCCATAGACCATTTCTCATTGGCTGCTATGAAATGCGCA